CGTCTTTTCTCCGGCTGAGCAGCCGCTGGGCTGCCACGGCCCGTCTGCAGCCTGAGGGAGTGGGGCAGGACGGGCGGCTCCAGGGGTGCCCTTGGGTCCGGCCCTGCCTCGATATGTGTCTGCTCCCTTTGCACTGGCACCGGGGCCAGGTCTGAGTTTCCCTTGCGGCCCTCCCTGTCATTCAGTCTAAAATGCAAGCAGGGAAAAGCGCGTGCAGGTTTTGAGGTTCCCAAATTGGACAAAGCTCGTGCTTTGGATGATTTTGTGAACTTGACGTTTGTTCACTGTTCCAGTGAGAGGATCTGAAGGGCTGTATATGGTGAATGGACCGCCTAGCTTCACAGAGAGCTCCACGTTTCAAAGGTACTGCTAGTCCTGTTTTTAATCTTTTGCACAAAAGAAATAATTTTCTACGAAGTAAAGGTAGGCTCTAGTATTGAGAAATGTATAAATATAAATGAGTTTATTTTTACTGTCAATAGTTCATAAAATTGATGGTTTTGAAGGCTTTGTGCTTGCCTGACTTCTCATTGCCCAGATGATAATTGCTGAACAATTGCAGAGCTGATTGCACTCTTACAACGCTGCGCAGGAGGAAAATTGAGGCGTTACATTCTCTTTTTGTTCAAAATGCCTTAACTTGTGCAGCGTGTTTGGGTACTGATGTGTGTTTCTTATTTCTTTAGGGACTCTGGGAGAAACTGCAAGGCTATTGCTTTCAGCAAGGATGGCTCCCTCTTTGCCTGGTGCAATGGAGAAAAGTTGGTGTACTTTATCATCTTAATAATTTAGTTTGTGTTAAATAAACTGGATCTGTTGTGCCCCATTTACTCTTGTCTGTGTAAAGGCTGCTGCTATTAAAGCGAGTGGTTGCATGGACGCTTTAAATGCTTTTTTTTTTTTCATTATTTGCAGTGGTGGCTTTGTTTTCTGAATATCAGATGAAATATTTACTGTTTTTCTCTTATTTATAATGCACCCATTCCCATGGAATCTGGATATGCTTTATGTGGGTTTTTTTTAGTTCATGGCTCCCAGTGTGATGGTACCTGATTATTTGGTATTAATCTATTGGTAAAGCTCACAGAAAATGAGAAGCCTGGGCACCTTATGCACAAACATCACAAGGTTTCTTTTTTAATAAACCAGGTGCATAGTAGAGTTCACTCAAGATCATCATTTGCTTAAGAGTGCATCAGGGGGTTGATGCTGTAAAGAGATTATAAGACTTGTTCTGAAATGATCAGTACTAGCAGAATAAAAAAATCTGCAAAAGCATTTACTTATACCATTTAACCATTTCTTTTGAAGTGGGAAACTTGGGTGTAGGATTTGTTACTTTCACTGTTGCTTCTGGTTCTCCAAAATATTCAGACTCTTCAAAATTTTCATGAAAAGTCTTATTCTTGTCAAGTGGAAAGGTCCATTTCCAGGAAATGTTTGTGGAGAAAAATATTTTTCAAACAGCCAGGTTGTATATCCAGGTACCCATATATTAAATGAGGATATTCCAAAGAGCAAATTATTCCAGTGCTGCTGTGCCTCTGCTCTGGGGGTCGTCCATCCCCCTTGGTTCTGAGGGGAGCAGCTGGTGAGATGCGGGCTCCTGCTGCAGCTTCTGGGAACAGCAGTGGCTTGGACCCGTCCTGATGTGATCTCTTCTGTGTCTCTGGATTCCATATGTGGCAGATTTTTATTATTTGGTGTTCAAAGGTTTGCTTGACCTTGTTTGTTCAGCTGTCTGACCTTTGTTTTTTATTGTCCATGTCTCCCTGCATCCCTCCACCTCAAAAAGCCCAAATTTTAAATGTATCATAATACCCAGAAGAAGTTAAATACGTGGGATGGATGCATGTTTTAACTCCGTTCGAATCTTTCTGTTGGCTGTTGCTCAGCTTCAGCACTGCGAAAGCGTGGATGGATTCACAACAGAGAGAGTAAATCTTGTCAGTCGTTCAGAGTTTAAATGTTACAAATAAAAATATGCGATAAGTGCTTTCACTTGGTTTCTGTTACACCTGGATATCTGGTTTTAAAATGTCATCTTGCAAAAATTTAGTAAAAGCAGAAAAGGAAAAGAGCTCTTCTAATTTTGTTACATTGCTAAATTTTGGACAGCTCTAGAAGAGTCAATACATGAAATGTTACCTTGGCTATTAATTAACTATCCTAAGCATGTTTGATTGCAATAGCATCTTTTGGTTTCAGAGTCAATATTGTTAATGTCACCAGCGCCGAGTTCCTGCGTTCCTTTGATCTTCCAAAGGCAGTTTGCCTTGAATTCTCGCCAAAGAATAGTGTTCTGGCAACATGGCAGACCTACTCAAGTGAGTATTTTACCAGCTGTAAAAGTACGCAGGGTAGCTGCACGTTTTAATCTGGTTTGCAGGCTTTCCATTACCTGATTTGTCATGGTAGCATATTTATTGGCTAAATAAGCAGTGTAGAAAGTGTACAGAAAATGATGTGAGTCATCGCGTATGTAGTGGAGGAGGAAGGGGTGCTGTCTTCTAAAGCATCTGCTACCGACTTGCTACAAACACCACATCAGGGTGCACATACTAAGTTACTCTATTAAGTAAATCACAGGTTTCTAAAAATTGCTAACTGATTTTAGTGCTAAGAATGTGTTTCAGTAATGTGCTGTTCAAGCAGTTTATATTCATGTGTAGACAAGGAAAATTGGAAACTCTTAGAGTAGTCGTGTCCTCTGCTGGGCACAGCTGACCCACATGCTCCCCACTGCCCCTCTATGCAGCTGATGTGGCTGGTGTTCCTCAGTCTCACCTCAGTTGTGTCTGACACAGGTGATGTAAACACTTCCTCAGACAGAGCCGGCCGTCAGCTGAGCGTGTGGAAGTGGTCTGGGATAGGCTGTGGCATAGGGCAAGGATGCACGAGTGACAGAACTGATGTCACTGTTAAAAAAATGTTGGGAGGTCTGTTCTGAATCGTTGGTAGAAATAGGCAGAAGTAGGGGAGTACAGAGAGTTTAAAAGCAGGAGAACCATTTTGTATGGTGTTAAGGTAGTCTGCACCATCCAGGTGTCCATCATTATCCTCACTGTCCAAACCCTAGGTTTCTTGGAGTAGAGCAGAGTCTCGGGCATCAGATCTCTATATTAAAAAAAGTTTATTCTCGTATTACAGCTGGGAAAGATCAGCTTACACTGGGTGCCTCGGGAGAGGGACCCAGAACAAGCAGTCCCTGGGTAATTTCACCCTTGCAATCTCTCCCTGCTTTTCATGTGCCGTTTATGTGCCTGTCGGTCCAATGGTAATTCCTGTTCTGGGGTCTCCTGACCCCTCAGCAGATCCTTTCTCTGTCTCCAGACACTCCCTAAACCATTCCGGTTTTTCTCTGAGTTGCAGCCTCTGTTGTCAGCTGTGACCTCATCTGCTTTGTTCTCCTTGTGGACCTGCTCATCAGCCATAACTGGAAAAGTCCCAGCCTTCGGAAAAACACCACTTAGCAAAAACATCAGTGTTATCAGCATTTTCCTCATACTGAATCCAAAACGCAGCTCTGTGCCAGCTACTAAGAAGAAAATTAACTCCATCCCGTCACAAAGATATCTCAGCGATAGCTCACAGCCTGCAGCCTAAGGCTTCAGCAAATCTATCTGCTCGTGCTAAGCAAACAGCATACCTGATCACGCAATGTTACGCTGTATCTCTTGCGTCCTAATGTTAAATGATTCACTCAAAGAGTGATTAATTCTAATTATAACTGACTTATTTTAGCTAAGCAATTGGTATTTCTTAACAACAGCTTGCAGATAAAGCTGTGACTGCAGCATGATGGACAAAATGCATTGCATTCTTGTGAGAACAAAATGTAGGAGTGGAGAACATAACTTCATTGTTTGCCAAGAGGAGAGCTTTTGATTCTAATTAGAAAACATGCATTAAAAGAGCTGTCCTCGTGTTGGTGGTCCTTGTCTTGTAATGGGAGTAGAAACCCTGCACTTCTCAACATTCCTTCTTTCTGCAGACAAGCTGTAGAAGGGGTTGTGTTAACAGGTACAGCCGTCAGCAGTGGGTGGATACATCCTGTTAGAGGTTTATGCGTGCTTGGTTGCTTGGGGAATCTTGAGGTGGAGCATTGTCTCGGCTCAGCAGATTCAATCCCCACAGACCACTGCAATAATGCATGGTTTTGTTGCAGATGCTAAAGATGGCAGAGGTGGGCAGCCCAACCTACAACTTCATGACGTGAAAACTGGAAAATGTTTAAAATCTTTCATCCAGAAAAAGATGCAGAACTGGTAAATAACATTTCCAGATGTTCTTTTTTTTTTTTTTTTGCAAAGAAATGTGGTCTGCAAAATTCGATCCAAGTAAATAGAGCTTTTAGCATGGTGCTGATTTTTGAAATGCTGCCCACTACTAGCTGATAGCAAGTGTCTGTGCGTGTAAGTGCACGTAGTTAAAATTGTCAGTTCCTCAGTATAGATTCACTGTCATTTTGCACCACAGAGAAAGCTGGGGAGATGTTAACTAAGTCCAGTTATATAGTTTTTACTATACAGATGTCATTTGTCCATTTGAAATGTGTATCATGTTTGAACTTGCTTGGCTTTAAAACTGGAGGGGGAAAAAAAAAGCTAGACTGCTAAAGATGAGCTTCATTCAGTGCCTCTGATTTATTTTTATTTAAATAATGTAGGTGTCCTTGTTGGGCAGATGATGAAAGCATTTGTGCCAGGAATGTAAACAATGAAATGCACTTCTTTGAAAACAACAACTTTAGTACGCAAGTATTTCTATACATTTCATTGCATTCTCTGTAGGTGTCTTTCTTTTGGGTGTTTTTTTTTCACTTTCAGTTTTTTCCTTTCCTCCTTTCCTTGTTTTTTATTTTAAATGTTGCCTACATTCTGTTTGAATTTGGAATTCAGAATCAATATTTTTTAATGATGTATATTTTCACTTGTTTATCTTTTCAGTGACTTATCTAGTACAAAATGCATCTAATTTTCAATTGAAGAAGCTAATTCTGTATTGTTTTTCATTAAATGAGAAATTGTCAGTAGAGAATGTGACCCATGATTACTTCTTTGGGTTGTGCGTGTTCTGTCAATTAACTGAGAAAATGGCTCATCAGGAAATTTATATTGATGGCAAAAATGAAGTTGTGAAGCTAGAGCATTTTTTTTTTCAAAGAAATTTACTAGTAATGGTAGAATATTTGGAGTCAGTAGATGTCAGAAAGGGAAAGGAGAAGAAAAAAGCAAGGAGTTAATTAGAACAAAAATTTAAAGGAATAAAAGAAAACTGCTGTGGGGAGAACAGTGGTGTGTGGGTTTGGTTTCCTCTGAAGTCAGCATAGGGAAGGTGAGGGATGCTGTGCCTCGCTGAAAACAGCTGTGGTCCCCCAGGGCTCAGGGCTGCTTTGCTGTGTGAACTTCCGCATCCTGAGTACTGGATGTGAGGCCTAGGCTCAGTTCAAGTTGGTTTTATAAGTAAAACTGTGTGATGAAATGGAAAAATAATGGCTGTTTGCCTAGTAAAAGAAACCCTTTATTATTCTGTGTACTGATCTTTATTACCCATGATACAGACCCAGTAAAAAGTACAGTTAAGTAATCCAGGCTGACATGGCTTGTCATTAACATCATCACATCTTTTTTTTTTTTTTACTTTCTTTTTTTCAGATACTGTTGCAAATAAGCTGCATTTGCAAAAGGTTACTGATTTTGTGCTATCTCCGGGACCACAGCCAACCAAGGTACTCCTGGTGGTGTTTCCAATTTTTTCCTTGGTTTTATTAAAAAAAATTACTGTAACTTTAGTACACTGTACTGGCAGCGAACAGATGCTGTGCCACCAAGGATATAATCTGCAGTGAAGTCTCGTGGGTCTGTTTTAGGTGGCTGTGTATGTGCCAGGCTGTAAAGGCGCGCCGTCGTTCATCAGGCTCTATCAGTACCCCAACTTCGGTGGCCCTCAGTCTGCGCTGGCCAATAAGAGTTTCTTCAAAGCTGACAAAGTGACGATGCTGTGGAACAAAAAAGGTATAATGGCTGTGTATTTAAACTGGTATATTACACCCATTTGGGATATAAAGGGGGTGGATTTTGTGTTTAATGGCATGTGCAGATAAATATTGATTATAGCCATTAATGCCAGTGAAGCATTAAGGTTACAACTCTGAATACCCTGAAGTGCTCGTAACTTTCCCACGTTGACTTCTCTGATTTTGTATATTGTAACTGAGAATATTCTACATGGTGGTAAATTTTGCAGTTGAGTAGCAAATTCAAGTTTAGTTTTGCATTCTGTGATGAGAATGTATTCAAATTGTAAACATAAGATTATACTGGAGCATAAACTGTTCTTAATCTGTAAATTGTGTAAGTGCAAGCGTGTCATAGTTGGGATGACACGCACAGTCCTCTGTGTGCTTTGCTGTTAGCAATGAGCTGTCTCAGAATAATCCTGTAAAAACTGTGTTACTTCAACTCACATTGTTTGGAATATATTGCATACATGTGAAAGCACGCATGGGCACACAGTTTTGGGTGAAGTGGATGTACATACGAAAGCTGTTGATGCTGTAAAAGCTGTAAAATAAGCTGTAGAAGCCTATTCAAGGACTGATCAGGGTTGTTGGTGTCTGCCTTGGTCAGATGAATATCTTTTATGGCTGCAAAAGTATGTTCACTTTCTTGTAATTCAATGGGGAATAAATAAACCTAGCTTACACTTTTCCTCTGAGAAAGGAAGATACTCGTTCTGTTTGGGTTAGCAATTAGGAAAAATTGGATTCAGAATGGTGACAGCACTGTTACGCAAGCAATAGCTAGAACTCGTAATCAAACTCGTTTATCTTTGTGCATGGCAGTTTGTGAAATAGTTTATATAATTTGCAACAATTGTACTGAAATAACTGTATCTCTTCTGTTAGCCACTGCTGTGCTAGTAGTAGCTAGTACAGAAGTTGATAAAACAGGTGCTTCATACTACGGAGAGCAAACTCTTCACTACATTGCAACAAATGGAGAAAGCGTGATCGTACAATTGCGTAAGTAGCTCTCGGGCTTTTTTTCCTTTGTATTATAGTTCTTAATAGTGGGAATTGCTGCTTCACCAGCTTCTGTTTAATATGTGAGGAGGTTTTTTTGTTAGTGTAATGAAGTAATCTTTAAAGTAAAAATGAAGTACTCTAAAAATCCTTCACCAGTTTTTTTTAATCTGGAGTAGGGTGGGTGGTGGTTTTTTTATTTGGTGGTTGTTTTTTAATAGCTGAATTATCTTGATGTCAGTGGCAGAGAGCACACGCTTTCAGTTAATATATACAAATAATTTGCTTAGGAGGGCCTTCATGTGTGCAGGAAGGGAACCGTGCATGTTACTAAGGGAACACCTGGGCAGTGGAGCCAGCTTAATTCTGAGAATCCAGAAGAGCAGGGACGTACGTTACCAAACAGCACAATCCTACCTGCACTGCCAGACGTGCAGTTGATACTTGAGGAACCCAGGGAGTGCGAGAGCAATTCTGTGAAGTATATTGGGAAACAGAAGTCCTTTATTTTGTGTTCTGAAGTGGAAAGTGCTCTAACACATAAAATGGATGTGCTGGGGAGAAGCAAGTGGATGCTGATAATTTCAGTGTCTTGTTTGGTGTGGAAGCCCGGTCATTCATTACCCATGGTGGTGTTTGTTCATTTCTTGGGTTGCTGCTGTTGGTGTTAAACTCCCGTCTCATCTGGGATTACTGAGAGCCCGGTTTGTGTGGCGTATTTCAAAATACCGGGGACGGGGTGATGTAGCTGATGTGTGCTTCAGTGACTGTGGAGAAATGGTGAATATATTCTCTTTGGCCCTCGTGCTGACTGGAGAATGTCTCCAGTTCACTTCTGCGGCAGCACTTGAGGCAGAAGTCCTGTGTGCCATTTCCCTCCGTTACTGACTTAACTGGGGAAAAATAGGATTATAATGCAGTATTTAGCATCTCTCCGGGAGCAGTTGCCTGGATTGAGAACACAAGTTGTTTAATTACATGTTTATTAAAACCTTTGCCCTTTGAAGTTATTTATTTCCAATGCATCTTTATTTAACAAGAAGTTTCTCATTAATTTTCATTTAATTTAGCTGTTCCTTTTCAAGGAAAAAAACCAATGTCTGTCTTGTAAAACAAAAAGCAAGAGGTGGGCACTTAGAGTGAGTGGTGTCTCATTTCCTGTGGATTTGTACCTTCTGGTTATTTCTGAGGTCCGGTTTTGAAGCTCTTTTCCCAGTAGCACTTGTAGAGTTTTTAGTTTTTGGCTAATCTGTGCTCATGCTGCAGCCTTGCTGCTGAAGCCCATACAATGCTGCCCTCATCTCCCCAGCTGTGTGAAACATGCATGAATGCAGATTTCTGTCAGGCCTCTGTCTCTGCTGCTGTGTTTGGATGATGCGATCAGAAAGGCTTGACAGGGGAACGTGCACAGACAGTGATTTACACAGCCTGGTGTCTAGAGATAGTGAGGCTTCAGAGGAGCCACAGGAGGGAACAGTTTCTATCAGTGTGATGTTTTGGGTCAACGTCTGGACTTAAGAATTGTCAGTAATGCATTGGGACTTACCAGAAATATAGGTAAAGATATCCAGGTTATGAAAGGTTATAGTGACCTATGGGTTTTATTTACCGCTGTATATTTTACATGAGTTTCCATCACTGATTTGTCATTCTTCGATATCTCCTAATGTTCTAACCCCCAGAATAGCTTCTAACAATATCAAGTTTTAATTATTACGTGTAAAACCTCATTTTATGTCCTTTCTCACTTTAAAATCTATTTTATAAAATATCACGTGTGAGCACAGTCCAGAGAGAGAACTTAGATCAGTATTTCTTAGCTCTGCACAGCTGAGTTATGCAACATTTCTTAGATTAAAAAGAAGTGGAACTGGTATCCAGCTGGTATAAAACTCCTGTTTTTGCAGGTTTCCAGTAGGACAGTTTGAGAAGGTCCTGAGAGATCATATGGAATAACTAGGGGAAAAAAAAGGATTTTTTTGTTTTACATGAAAAATGTGTGCTTACTGTTAAAGTGCTGGTGCTGACCCTACAGCGGTAACTTGGAATGGCTGCAGTTATTGTTGCAAACCTTAACTAAAATGATCAGAAGTTAAAATGCGGTTTCTGTCTCTGTTGTTAGAACTCATTTTCACTGTTGATAATTAGAGCATTTTAGCAAAGTATAACATGACAAAGAATTGCTATTGATTTTATTTTTGCCTGTACTGAAAAGATACAATCTCCTATTTCCTTTTCCTTTAGCAAAAAATGGTCCTATTTATGATGTTGTTTGGAACCCCAATTCTGTCGAGTTTTGTGCTGTGTATGGTTTTATGCCTGCCAAAGCAACAGTTTTTAATCTGAAATGTGACCCTGTGTTTGATTTTGGAACCGGTCCTCGCAACGCTGCCTACTACAGCCCCCACGGACACATCCTGGTGCTGGCAGGATTTGGAAATCTCAGGGGACAGATGGAAGTGTGGGACGTTAAAAATTACAAACTCATTTCCAAGCCGATAGCCTCGGACTCCACGTACCTGGCTTGGTGTCCAGACGGGGAGCACATTGTCACCGCCACGTGAGACGGGGAGCACATCGTCACCGCCACGTGCGCGCCCCGGCTGCGCATCGGCAACGGCTACAAGATCTGGCACTACACGGGCTCGCTGCTGCACCAGCATGAGGTGCCATGGAGCGAGGAGATATGGCTGGTGTCCTGGCAGCCCTGCCCCGACGGCGCCTTCCCTGCCAAGGCCGTGCAGTACCAGGCGGTGCCCAGCGACCTGCCCAGCGCTGAGCCAAAGCCCGCCCAGGCTTACAGACCCCCAGCCCTGAGGAACAAACCCGTCACGAGTTCCAAGCTCGTAAGTACTCAGTGTCATACGTGAACTGAATTATCTCTTGCTTTGCTTTGCCCCTCTTTGCAGCTTGGCCTCAAATAAGTGTATTTTTAAAATGAGGGACCAGACTGACAGTATTGTGGGTGTTTTGATCAACCGCTTTGACACTTTGCTCACTGTTTGCAAGAATTTATGCTAGAAGACTGAGGTGTTTTTGGTCCAAATACTATCCTTTTACAAAGTTGCTTGCAAACTTTAAAAACACTCTCTACAACATGCACTGTAACAGCAAGCTGCAAATTGGATTTACAGTGAAATTGGTTACTCTTGTTAAGATAAGAGCCTCTGATTTGGGTGACCTGACCTCCCAGTCTAAACCCACCAGACAGGTGGCCGACTGTCCTCCCAACAGCTGCTTTTTACATCTTATTTGATATTTTTACTTGAGTTTTTTTTACTAGAGAGAGATTGGATTCTTCACATGTCAGCTGCGGTTTGAACAGGTTTTCAGTATAGTGACCTACTTGCGTAATTAGTTTCTTTTCTGCAAGTTTTCAAAGTAGGCCGAATAGCAACTAATTACATTTAACAACTGCACCCTTGATGTTTAAGTCTTGGAGAGATTTGATTTTGAGCCCTGTGCTTTTGAAGGAAAGGCTGCTGCTTGGCTTGGGAGGAATCCGTTAACCATACTGATGTCTGATTCGCAAATGATCAGTGAGCAGAGGTAGCAGAGAAAAGAGGTGTTAAATAAAATACCTCTGTTTACTTACATGACAAGGTTTCTTGCTCACATGTGTTAAAACAATCCAGCCTCTCAATTATGGGTTACCTTAAAACCCCAAAAGACCAAGCAAAACCCCCTTTTCACCTCCCATCTAATGCCCCCCAAGAAACCCCACCCTGTCTCCCCTCCCAACAACCAGTTTATTCTTTCATGTCAATAGGAGTTTGAGTTAAAATGTCAACGAAAGCCAAATGTCATTTGGCTTCAGCCATTTTGTGCTGGTTTATTCCTCTTTTATTTCCCCTGAGATAGAAAATGTGATGGGTTTGTTATTTTATCAGAATTAAGAGAAGTGCACACTTTTTTTTTCTTTTTGCTTTTCCTCCTTCCTTCATGGTTCATCTTTCCAGGTGGTGTTGTCTTAAGTAGGCTTGAGAGTTCACTGTTGGGTTTTTTGTACCAAGACACTTGCCAACATGGAATATGGGTTTCAAACCTGTTAATTCTGTGTATCCTGCAGCACGAGGATGAGCCACCACAGAACATGAAACCACAGTTGGGAAGCAGTGATAAGCCACTCTCTAAAACAGCTCTCAAAAATCAAAGGAAACACGAAGCGAAGAAAGCTGCTAAGCAGGTACAGCAGAAGTATTTCTTTCACAGATAATGTTAATCAATTTTCCAAAAGATCAGTACCACAGCAGTGACCGCTGGTGCACTGAGAGCCCCCGCACGCTCTGCACGTGCCGAGTTGTGGGGAGGGTGGTAGAAAGTTTTAATTGGGCTAAAGCAGGTACAAAAACAATGACTTAAAAAATAACATCTGTGGTTAGTTGCTGTGCATGTTAGCTGAAATCAGGGTTGATATGAAGTAGTTCTGCCCTTTCACCTTCAGACAGTCTGTGTGGTTTTTCAAGTGTTAGGTGAGAGCTACTTTGCTGTGCTGGCTCCGCAGGGTGGGCTGAGACGCGTTACTGGGGCAGGCAGCCTGTGCTGGGGCACCTCTTTGCCCGCTGTTCTTCAGCTGGGTAGATAAAAACAAGTCTTTGGTGTGAGCCTTCCGATTTCTGCAAACTTCTGAACCAGTAATTTCTTAAAGATTTTTTAATTTCTTACACTGATTTTGAGACCTTTATTTTCCTTCAGAGGCAATGACCCACTGGCCTCCTTTACAAAGTATTTGTGTATGTGTTTGTTGTCTCATCCTTATTGCTGTTTCCCCACATATGGTTGGTGGCTTAAGGAAGCAGAAATCAAACAAGAAACAGTATGCGAGTTGTTACAGAGAACCCTTTGCTGTGGCAAGCATATATATAGGTAAGACAAAACATTGGAGCAAGTCCTTTACAAATTTTGGAGTACACCAGCAAACTAGTGAAAGAAGAAATATAGATCCCTTGAAATTCTTAAAGACATTTTCCAGTCCCCTTGTAATTGAAGGTATTTTCTAGATAATGTGTTTATTTTATTTGCTTACAGGAGGCCAGAGCTGATGCGAACCAGGAATCTACAGAATCCTCAGCATCACAGAACACACCACGGAGCGCTGTGCCTGCCGTTACGTCAGGAGATCCTGAAGTTGACAAGAAGATAAAGAATTTAAAAAAGGTGAGGGGATTTTTCTCCTGTCAACAGCGGATTTCTCTAAAAGATGGTCTGTAAGATCTAAAGTGATCGTAAGGTGACTTGAGCTCAGGAGGTGCCATTTACAAAGATGGCACTTTCTTGAATTTGTAAACCAGCTTCCTCTGCTCTTTCACCTTGTAGAACAGCAGAGGTCGTCACTTGCCGGGGCGCCTAAAGGTCCCACCAGAGCAGAGCCCAGCAGCGTAGCAGCTGCTGGCAGGCACACAGAAGGGCTCTGCAGCCTCCTGTTACTGCCAATCCTGGAAATTCTTGGATTAAGTAATTTCAGAGTGGAAGTTGTTTGATTCGGACTAGAGAATCTTTCCTGCTTCTGCATAACCCATTAGGGCTTTTTTCTCTTGACTGCCTCCTGCTTCTCATGGTCTCTGTTTGGATGAATATCCCAGGCTTTCTGAGGAAAATGTGTGGTGAAGAGGGATAGTGGTAGTGGAGGAGTAATTTCCAAATTTGGCTTTAGCCCTTCAGTGAGACAGTGCCTGGTGTTCACGTTTCAGAGACTGAGAAGCGCTTCTGTTCTCCAGGTTTTGTGCTTGAAGGAAATGTCCTTTACTGGTGACAAATTCTGAACTGGGCATCTGGAGATGGTTAATGAAATGTGCCTTCTATACTGAGACTTGCCTCCTGGTACTTCAGGAATTGCAAGTGCGGGAACTTCTAAGACCCTTTTTTGCTATTCTTGTTCACCACTATTTTTGTTAATGTGGTTTTCTGGTTTGTTTTTTACAGAAACTGAAGGCAATTGAGCAGCTAAAAGAACAAGCAGCTGCTGGCAAACGGCTCGAGAAAAATCAGGTATTGTTATGATGTATGCAGCTTATTCAGGTTTTGGTTTGGAATTATCTCCATCTATGATACCTTGTGCTTTTTTTCTTTTAGCTGGAGAAGATTCAGAAAGAAACTGCTCTTCTGCAGGAACTGGAAGACCTGGAGCTGGGCCTTTAAAACTTCCTGGAAACTCAATGTGGCACTAATGCAAAGTTCATGAATAATATAATTTGTTTTATCTTGAACACAATAAAATGTTACAGCAAATGACTGAGGATGCAAAAGACCACAGCTTTGCTGCTCACTTGCCTTTTAAAACCTTTGCTAAAGATTTCTGCACACGTGAAATTGTAAATGAGTAATGAGCATCGCCTCAGCCAGCTCTGCTGCTGCTTGGACCAGAACCGTGTGTGTTCTGGGAGCTTATCACTTGAGAAAAGGCGATGGCGTCTGCCCCTTTGATAGCTTTACTGTATTTAAAAGATCTTTATACAATCCCGACTGTAGATAAGAATAAAGAGCATTTAATAACAGGTACCGCTGATCTTCGCTGCAGGGCAGGTTGGGAAATGGCGAGGCGGCGCAGTCTTTTATTTGGTTTTCGGATGTTTTTCTCCTTTTCTTTCCCCCTTTTCCCCCATTTTCTGTCCCCTTCTGACCGTTGACCCGCGCCGGGGGCGGAGCCTGGCGGGCGTCACGCGGCCGTCGGCGCCTGCG